TGTCCCTGTTGGGCTTAACGGGTGTAACAATTGGGGGTTCCCAGAGGGCATGTGAAACTAGTTCAAAAACCCCTTGGTCCACCCCCAACGATCCAGCTCCTTGTCAATTTTTGGCTTCAGGGTTGAGCTGGAGGGAAATGGGAGGTCCAATGTAGCGACCAGGCGTCCCATCAAATACGGCCAGGAACTCGTCGCACATCCGCTGAAAGTCTTCTCAAGCAATTTGGTGTACTCCCATGACCCGAAACTCCAAAGGCTCGAACCATGCTAACCATATAAACTTGTGTGACGGCCCACTACTACTAGCAAGTCCAAGAGTCCTTCAAAATTCTGGTATTGCACCCAGAACTTTCCCACCCCTTTTACAGCCACCTCATTTTGTTGGACGTCCCGTAGGGTGAAACTGGCCAGGCTGAGGCAAGGGTCTTCTTTAGGGCAGAGCCTCCGGAGGGTGTCATCCAAGATTATGGAAATGGAAAACCCTGTGTCTAGCTCCATCGTGCAAGGGGCTCCCTTGATTAAAACAGTCACTTTAACTTTATCAGGGGGGTCCTAAGACAAGTGCAGTACCTGGTGTGGCTGGATGGCTGTGGTTTGCAGTTCTGTGGTGTGCGCCGACTCCTGATGGGTAGACTGTCACCTCTGGGTTCCCTTGGAACAGCAGGAGCAGGCAATATGGCCGACCTTTCTGCAGCTCCGATACGTGGCATCTCAGAAACAGCAGGATGTCCACTTGTGGGGCTCCCCACAGCTGGCGCATGGTGTCGAGGTGGTGGATTCACTGGTGCGAGCTGTGGCGGGTGTGCTAGTGCTATGGTGGGCTGGGCGATATATTTCCAGGACCTCCTAGTCATAGGTGTCCATGTGGTGGGCTGCAGTGTTGGGTCTCCGTGAAGCTGGCGAGCTCAGAGCTTGGCGGTCCACTGGGGTGAACTTGTCGGCAGCTTCTGTGGAGAGGGCTTCTTCAAGCACATCCTTGAATGTGGGGTCCTGCTTGATGATGAGCTGCCATTGGATCCACTTGTCCCAAAGTCCTCACACCAGCCGGTCACGGAGCGCCTCCTCGAGGTTGTGGAAGTTGCAATGTCGGGTGGCATGCTGGAGAGCCGTAACGTAGGTCATGATCGACTCACCCACTGCCCGGTTCCTCGTATAGAATGCATGGTGGGCCACAATGACAGAGGGCATCGGTACAAAGTGCTCCTGCAGCTGGTCTATAGTTGTCTGGTACGCAGCATTTCGTAGTTCCACTGGTGCTAGCAGTGAGCGAGTGATCTCAAACGTTAAGCAGCCGCAGACCCGGAAGAAGGTGGTGTGCTTCTTCATGTCTTTGTTGACCTCAGAGGACTCGAGGAAGAACTCAAAGTGAGAAATGTAGGAGTTCCAGTCCTCAGCAGTGGCGTCCAGTGCGTCGAAGTGTCCTGGAGCAGCAGCCATGGTCCCGGCACCATCCCACCAAGACATATTTCTCCATGGTTATGACGCAAACGCCATAATCTTCAATACTGTTCCCCACCCCCGGACTAGCTCCCAGATTAGCTCCTGGAGACCCAGTCTTTCCTCAGTTTCCTGGAGCGGCTGCTCCACACGGCAGCCAAGATCTCCTTAGTTCCTTTAAGAGGTGGTCTCAAGGATGCAGGACTCAGAAGAGGATGAAGGGCCCCAGGTTTTGAAAGTGAAGGATTTGTGGTTTCAATGGCTTTTTTTGCTTGTTTTACAGGTGGAGAGGAAAAGGATGGATTAGGGAAATCTACAGCCTATGAGCCCAGGACAAAGTCTCTTCTTTTTCATTCAGATTTGATTCCCCATCCTCTTTTTCTTTCAATTTTTTTTTGAAAGAAAAAGAAAAGATAACTGCCCAGCCCAGTCCCACACAGTTTGGCTCGGTATCTCCTGCTCAGGGCTGGCCAGGCAGGTGCTCCCTTTCTCCTTTGGGACCCTTTCCCAGGGCTGTTTCTTCCTCACAAGCCACCTCTGGGTAATGTACAGCTGTTGGAGAAGGTATGTTTGCCTGCCAATCATGTACGTTACCTAGTTAGATCCACAGAATGAACAGTCCCAATATCTTGAGAACACTAATCTATTTCTGAATGCAGTAGGCAGCAACTGTAGCAGCAGATTAAATAGAAAATATCCTTCATAAATATATTGAGTTATTTTGGGATCACTGACCATTTGGATCTCTTTTCCTCCCATGACTGTCTATACAGACTATTCCAAAAATTTTATACCACTGATAGTTATAGTTATTTTTTCTGATCTCCAGCCTAAATTCCATCATCTGGCCTTTGATCAATGACATTACCCTTTTAACAAAAAGAAGTACTGTGGCATCTTAAAGGTTAGCAGATTTACTGCAACAAAAGCTTTTGTGAACTACTACCTATTTCATCAGATGTGTAAACAGTATCTTCAGTTGGCAGATACGTACAGTTTGTCAACTGATAATACACCATGGATCTGATGAAATGGGCTCTACTCCACTGAAGCTTATGTCATAAAACAACTGTTAGTCTTTAAGGTGCCACAAGACCTCTTTTTGTTTTTTTCTGTATTAACAGGCCTATCCCTCTAAAATCTGCCAGTTATGTTTTAAACTCTTCAGTGAAATATGCATCAGCAGAGGGACTGCTGTTTCTCAGTGGGGAAGGTGAAATTTTCAGAAGCCACCAGCAGATGTCCTTATAGTCCATCTTCATTTTAGTTCTTTATGCAAGAATCTTTTGCAAATTACTACAGAATCAGCACAGTTAAATGTAATTTCCCCATTTTGTTTCTTGAGTGTTGTGAAATTTCACTTTATTCCATGTTCTGGCTTAAATATGAGAATTTCTAAAATTAATTCTCAAATTGGAGTGGGCATTGATTCCTGAAGCTTTCAGTTCCTTCAGTTCCTTCTGTTCATTTGTATCTTTCCCTCCCTCTTATATATTAACAAGATTAAATATGTACAGAGGCAATAATGGTTAATATTTTTCTGACTTTAGCAATTAACTATGAGCCATATGTTTACAAAAATCAAATGCCTCTAGTGATTGAGATACAAACGCACTGGAAATAAATTTTATAACCAAAGAGAGTAATTGGGTCTGGGAATAATTTCTCCTGAAAATTGGGGCAAACTTCCCTTCCCAGCTATGCTATTTAAACTCCACTTGATTATATTTATCCTTGAAAATTTAGAATGCATTCACATCTATTGGAAATAATTATTTAAAATCTAGAGTAAGTGATCAGAGTGAGTCTACTTTGTCTAGTTAAGCCCAAGGAATGGCTCTTCCATTAATGGCCCCAGGATCCCTAGTTATTTAGAGTTATGAAGAATGAGATGATCTGCTTAAGATTTTTGACTAGCAATATACTTTAGGCACTCCCATCTTTGTCACAGACTTTCTGTAGGACTTTAGACAAGTATATTCAGGCTTCTGTACAGGAATCTATGAAATGCCTGTGAACATTTTGTCCAGGGTTTTTGTGTTACGGCAAATTCTTCCCCGTAGGAGGAAGACAGGAGATGCTATCTAACTCAGGTGCAGCTATTTACTAACTTGCAAATCTGTAAGCTGTTGCCTTTCCTTACCTGTCAAAATGAGATAAAGAGTTACTAATGGCAGTTTCTATTACCTTAACCACACTAAGCAAAAAGCAGACCCCTTGAGCTGCTATGACTCTTGTCTGGTGGTAAACCAACTGCAAGCATTCTTTATCTTCCTGGGAGATGTCTTAGAACCAAGCTACACATTACATGCAATTGTATGTAACTTCATTTTGACTTCAAGAAAGAAGGGGGGAAGCTTCTGCAGGAAGCTGTTTCCCCACAGGGCCAAACCATCCTGGGAATTCTATTTTGATGCATGGGACATGCAGTGGCCCCAGGGGACCATTATTTGCTCCACTGGTCTACTTACAGGCCTCAAAAGAAGGCATTATAGTTTAGGCTACACTTTCTTTTTTAATTTTTTTAAATTTTAGCATAAAGGTTATTTAACATTTGACATTAAGCCAGCATCACTAGTAATGCGCCATGAGGCTTAGTGGTAGCCCAGGGAAAATGCTGCGCTTCCCCTCCACAGTTTTAACCCACTAGTTGCTATTGTAAAGGATAGCTAGGTAAGTCACGCCTTTTGAGAGTTGTGAAGCCCTAGCAGAAAACCAGGAAAATATGCATGGGGGGGCACATTTTTCCCTCAGGACATTTTTTCAGTTGTTCAAATGGAAAAACTGGGAAATTTTCAGAGAGCACTGAAAAATATCCTTATGAAACATTTTTATTTGAAATGAGTGGATGTTTATTAAGACAAGATTTTATTCGCTGAGAATGTATAACATGAATTTTTATATGCTGGCTAAGCTCTAAATTATACATTTTATGTAGCTAAAGCAGAAAAATAGGTTTGGTTTTGATGGGAAATTAACTATTGCATATATTTCATTTCCCCCCAGAATTTCCTTTATTTTCGTAGCTATTCTGAGAAAAAAAAGGGGGGGAGAACTGGAATTAGAGACGGCCCTCATTAGAGATGGCCCTCTGATTCAAATGCACTCCTCTGGGAGCGGGAGCAGTTTGCATTAAGGCTTCCACGCCCCTCTAAGCCCTGCCAGTGCTGCAAGAACTTCCCCAAATGGGGTTACAGCTCTACTTCTAAATTGATTTAAATAGACCCTGTATCTCTACTCCTTTGTGCTGATTACTTAAATAGGGTGTTGGTTGTGCATATCCTGTGGATCGCATTTGAATGCCCCTTGCCCAGTTTCTTGCATTGTGCAACAGGGCTGGCAACTTGCAGCCAGCTAACATGGATACATGGGGGAAGTTGATATTTGGAAAACCTGTAAGTATTCCTTTAATGAAGTCTATCAGGCATAGTAATAGTTTTATAATATTATATTTAAGCATAATCAAATATTTCTTGGAAAAATATGAGTAAATATTTTATGTGAGTATGGATAATCACTCTCTCTCTCTCTCTCTCTCTCTCTCTCTCTCTCTCTCTCTGTAGCTGTTGAAAGGAACAATTTAATGAGATTAGCTCAAACGATACCTTTTACACCAGTGCAGCTCTTTGGTGAGTACCAGCTTCTGTGTTAATTAATTAGGACTAAGGATGCTTGAAAAACTACTGCTTTAGTTCTGTATGGGAGCCAAACTAGATACTATGGCAGCCAAAGGTCTGACCCAGGACCACTGACACCATTCTAGACAAGAATTTGTCCATTTAAAAATCCTGCAAGGGCCCGATCAGCGGGTTCAGCTGGAGCTGGCCATCTTGTTTCTTTTCAGAATGCCTTTTCAAGTGCCTAAACAATGTGTCGTCACCCCCCCCCCCGTTTTTGCACTTGAAAAGGCATGCAGGGGAGAGAAACAAAAGTGCTTACTCCAGCTGTGCCATGGGCCTGATCATGATTGGACTCTCTTGACATTTTTAAATTACCAAATTCTTCTCTAAAATGGCATTGGTGGTCACAGGTAGGATGTGTGACTGCCATAATGTCTAGTTGGGCCCTGAGTATCAGTCACAGAATGGCCTGTTTAGTATAGTGGTTTGGTATAGTGGTTAAGAGTGGCAGACTCTAATCTGGAGGACCAGGTTTGATTGCCCACTCCTCCACAGCTGGGTAGCCTTGTGTCAATCACAGTTCTCTTCACAGGGTGTCTGTTGCAGGGAGAGGAAGGGAAGTAGATTGTAAACCGCTCTGAGACTCTGAGTGAAGGGTGGGGTATAACTCCAACTCTTCCTTTGGTTTTTGCTTATTCAGCGTGAACAGGAAATGTCTTGCCGCATCCCAGCATCATGGGGACAACAAGAAATTTTGTGGGGAGAGGAGAATAGAAGTCAGCTCTCAACTGATCAGCACTAAATCAGCTTTTGTTCATTCTCCCCTACCCCCAGAAGCTCAGTGCAAGACTGGGGTGGTAAGCTTGACAAGCATCAGAAGTTGCCTCTCAGCTGATCCCTGAGATCTCAGGCTAGGTAGCAGAAGCCAACTCTGAGCTTATCGTGGATCAGATGAGAGTCAGCTTCTGAACAACCAGAGCAGCTCCTGGTCTGATTCCGTCAAACATGTTTGACTGCTGAACATCTTCACAGTTTGACTTGTAACATCCCTAATGAGGGCTTTTTACTCTTTTTGCAGAAGTATAAATTATATCTTTACCTCTTCAGTTGAGTACTAGTAGATATCTGCCATGTGATAAATTTGCTTTAAGAATACAGAACATATAGTTTTTTATGCTTAGCTGGGCTCTTTTTGTAGCAGGAACTTCTTTGCATATTAGGCGACACACCCCTAATGTAGCCAATCCTCCAAGAGCTTACAAAGCTCTTCTTACAGGGGCTACTGTAAGCTCTTGGAGGATTGGCTACATTAGGGTTGTGTCACCTAATATGCAAAGGAGTTCCTGCTACAAAAAGAGCCCATACAGAACAAAACAATTATCTAATATCTATCCAATTTCCTTTGGCTTTAGCTGGTGAAGAAGTGACAGTATATAAATTAGAAGAGAGTTCACCTTCGAACCTTGATAAAAGCATGTCAACATGGTCACAGCATGGCATGGCTGCTATGATTCAAGTATTGTCTCGGGAGGAAATGGATGGAGGGCTGAGGAGGGCTATGAAGGTTGTCTGCACCTGGTCCGAGAATGATGCACTAAAGTTAGGCCAAGTCTTCATTGTGAAGTCTTTCCTTCCTGAGGTAGTTAAGACTTGGCAAAAGATCTTCCATGAGGACACAATACTCCATCTTTGCCTCAGAGTGAGTATAACTTGTTATGGGTAAAATTTGTTTTCTAAAATACCTGACTATCTAGGGGAACATAAGTGGGAAAAGGGAGATAGTTGTAAGAAATTACACATGCCTTGCCATTCTATTATTAGACCATAAAAATTGTTAAAAATATGTGGTGAAACAAACTAAACTGGGCTGGGACCAAAAATGCAAACATAAATATGTAAGGTGAGGAAACTTACCAAGTCTGGGCTTTGGTCCCTGGGGTATTCCTGGGAAATTAGTGTATACTGGATAGCAGACGTCTCTGAGATGTGTAAAGCTGTCATCCTATGCATGCTTACTTGGAAATAAGATTCACTGGGGCTTAATCCAAAGTAAATATGCATCATGTTCAGCTGTCTGTACCTATAATAAAGGTAATGTCTAATTTAGAATATTACTTGTCTTTGGTATGCGAGGTGAAAAACCATGCGAATCTCTCCTCCCATCTCTCTTTGTACAGATTTTTCTTATGCCATACAAATGAAAAGTTATTAATGGCCTTTGATTTCCTCCTTGCCAATCTATAACATCATGGTCAGAATCATGATCTATAAACAGGAATTTCCAATGAATGTTGTACCTCAGCTATTGAACTCACCAGGTGGCTTTAAGCAGGAATCTTTAATCTGTAACTCTCTGATGTGTAATTCAGGGATAATAATTGTGTAAGAACCCCTAATATAAAATGCAGTGTTTTGAATACTAGCTTTAGGAAAAGGACTGTATAAATTACTAACAATCATTACTGTTATTAGGAAATACAACAGCAAAGAGCAGCTCAGAAGTTGATATATACATTCAACCAAGTGAAGCCTCATACCATTCCATATACTCCAAGGTAAGGCAGACACTTCTAATGAAGTATATGAGAAAGACTAAAGCCATCATTATTCATTACTTCTATGAGATATCCCCAGTTATTTGTCCATGAACTATAGTACTGTGGGTAAATCATCCTAGTACAGAACACAGAGAGCTAGACAAATAGCCATCTATTTATTGTAGCCATCTATATTGACCTTTGTCAAAAGACTTTCTTAATATATCATCAGTACAGAAATTACAATCACCCCAGTAATTAAACATCTGGAATGGACATTTCCTTATATTTGATTCATTAAGAATATATACCAAAAAGCAGGGACCCAGAAGGTACTTGTGGGCAGGGGAGTCTTTTTACTTCCTCCCCTTTCCCTCATTCCTTCTCTGTCACTCACCCCCCATCTTTCTCCTCCACCCCTTCTCTGACACTCATCACCCCTTTCTCCCACCACCCCTTCTCTGACATTCATACCTCCTTCTTTCTTTCTTCCCCCCCAATTGACACTAATCTCCCCTCTTTCTGTTCCTTCTCCCACCCCCCTCCTCCTCCTTGCATCTCATTGCCTGAATGATGAGCACCACAGTGACTTCCTCGCCTGCCCTACTAGCTGCTTACCTGAGGTTTGTCTGCGCATGTGCTTTTTAAAAAGTGTTAATAATTTGAAAAGCTTTAAGTTGAAAAGTTTTACAAGATTTCTGCAATAAGGCCCTACCAGATGGCAGCCCAAGGGGCTGCATAAGGAAGGAGAGCCTACTTTGCAGGCGTGGAAGGACGGAGACTGGTTGCGGCGTTTCCCGCCCATATGGGTATCTGGGACGGGAGGAGCCTTGTCTTTATTACTGTTATGCTCCCTCCCATTGGGGCAGTTTGTTGGAAATTGGGCTTCTGCTGGTTGCCAGTTGTGGGGCTGGGTAGGAGTTTTTAGCCCCCCTTTCAGATTGGCCGGGAAAGGAGGGTGTTTTTGCCTACCCCACACTGTCTTTGAGGTTGGGGAATTGGCTCTGGGTAGTGCTGTTAATTAGGTTTGGTGGAAATCTGGCCTATTTTCTGTTATATGGGGGAACACCAAGCGACAGACCCCCTCCCCTTTTGTCTGGGGGGTTGGCACACTTTGCACGAACCATTCCTTGGTATGGACCTTGGATGGGGACTGTGGGTGGCCTGTTATACACCTTGGGCATGGGTCTCCCTTCATGCTCTGCCGCTAGAGGTGGTGGGCTCATGGCAAGGGGTTGGCATGTCTGCCGCCGGGCACAGGCCATGTTTCGGTTGGCTTGCACCAGGGGCTATGGTAGTTACCCCCCTTTATGGTCTGGATGGGGATCAGGGAATCCCCTTGCCAGGTGCATGTTGCAGCCCTTGCCAGTTATTACCTCTTGAATTAATAGTTAAATAAAGCTGCCCTTAGTTTATACCAATTACCTGTGTCAGTCTCTTTCTTCCAACTAAGTATGCAAACCTAGGTTGTCGCACAAGTTTGCAGAACTGATTTGTAAGTTTAGGCATCCACAGATTGAACTACACTTGACTCTAAGTAAATACAAAGGAGTAAATAGAAGGGAGTATCTGGGCTTCAATATATGTGATGACAACATAATGATTTGTTTAAATCCAAGCCTGCCTCATTCACTGGGCAAGAGGACTGATTTTTAGAGCAAAGAGAAACATGGAAAAGGAGATGTGGACCCTCACTCTGCCTGTTACTTACTTTCTTACCTGAGTTGCTTCATGCTTAAATCTGGTTTGGGAAGCCATTTAGGGGGGAAAGTGACATTGACAGGGAGTTAAGGAACAGGAAAGAGAAAGTTTATCGCCACTAAGGAACTTTAGTTACAATAATGGCAAGCATACTGTTGTCATGTGTAGTTTGGTCCTGAGTGTCATAGGCATCATGCCAGTGTTTTTCATGGATGTATATATTTCAAAGAGTTTTAGAAATATGTGAAGGCCGCAATCCTAAATGTTCTTTCATACATGTAAATGAAATCAGTGGCACTTTCTTCCAAGTAAATGTGCTGAAGATTAAGGTTTGTGTGTTATCTGCCATTAAGTTGCTTCCAATTTATGGCGACCCTATGAATTAAGGACCTCCAGAATATCCTGCCAGTAACAGCTTTGTTACTGAAGTCTGTGGCTTCCTTTATTGAGTCAATCCATCTCATGTTGCTGTTGTTTGTTTGGTTGTTGTTATTAATTAGATTTTATACCACCCTCCCTATGAGGCGGACTCAGGGCAGTGTACAAGTTAAAAACAGAAAACATAACAATTTAAACTGTTAAAATTAAGAGCTTTGTAACAAAGTCCCAAATCCTAAGGCACCATAATTTACAGGTTTCATAACCCCAGCAGGGGAGAGAGGAGGACCAACCATACCATTGCTGACCTCATCTGTATACCCTTGAGTATGACTCGGTACTCAATCTGGAGCCAGTGCAGCTGGCAAAGTGCAAGTTGAATGTACACTGTTAATGGGGTTTCTGTAAGAATCCGAACCATTGCATTCTGGACCAGCTGTAACCTCTGGGTCAGCTTCAAGGTTAGGCCTATGTAGAGTGAGTTGCAGTAGTCTAACCTAGAGGTGACTGTTGAATGATTACAGTGGCTAGGTCAGAGTGAGACAGGAAGGAGGCCCGTTGCCTAACCTGGTGTAGTTGAAAAAATGCCAGTCTGACATCATTTGTGACCTGGGCCTCCAGGAACACACCAAGGCTTTTGACTGTCTATGCCAGGGTTAGTGCCACATGGTCAAGAGATGGAAGTTGGCACCCAAGTCCTGAATCTCCCCCACCCAGCCAGAGAACCTCTGTCTTTGAAGGATTCAGTCTCAACCAGCTTCACTTCAGCCATCCAACCATGGCCTCCAAGAGCTCGGCCAATTTACTCAGGGCAGCATCTGGCCTGCTATCCATCAGCAGATATAGCTGGGTGTCATCAGCATAGTGATGGCACCCCAGCCCAAAACTCCACACCAGCTGGGTGAGGGGGTGCATGTAGATCTTAAATAACATCAGAGAGAGGATAGCCTCCTGAGGGACTCCATATACTCTGCTAGCATCACCGTCTGTCCCCGACCATGGGAAGACTTGCAGAGTTCTCAGTTCAATTCAAAGCTAAAGCTGATTGAATCAGGTATTACTGCAGCAAGACAAAATTTGGTAGGTTTATGAATTAATTACCTGTGCCATGTAGAGAGTATGTATTTAAAGTACTGCCTATGTGGCTCTATTTTAAATTTCCACATCCATCTGTATTTATTTGACAAGAGAGATCGTAACTTGGCACTGAGTACTTTAAATAAAATTTTACGATTTGTTTTACAAGCAGTTTTATAGAGTATGATCAGTAACATTGGCCTTTCTCTCATAAAAGGATCTAAATGCTTTATCAAAGTGGAAATCAGCCTTCCATTTCAGGAGCATTTTATCATGATCTTTATCAAAAGGGGTGTTCTTGTATGATTTTGAAATAGTTTGTCCCAACTTATTTGGGCCTCACATTTATTAGTCATGTACTCTAATGACTTATTCTGAATATACCATCCTTAAAAACCTGTTTCTCTGATAACAATGAAAATCTTAAAGTGATGGTCCACAACTTTACAGAGAGCTTGTGATAAAGCACATTTCAACACATTTAGAGTTATTAGAGATTCCCTCTCACCGTAGGGCATACTTCCTGGCAAGATGTAACATCTATCCATCGGCAGTGTTAGAAGGCCAGTATAAAAAGGTACCTTTGTAAGAGTGACTATGCCCATGCGGTTCAGGGAAAGTCGAAACAATTGAACATATTTTACTCCACTGTGTATTTTATGAAACCATCAGAGCAAAGATTATCCATCCTATCTTAAGGAGGTATCACAGATATTTTGACAAGGAGATAAGTAGGAAGCTATTATTTGATCCTGCTCCACAGCTCATAACAAATTGTGCCAAATTTTTGGCAATAGTTCAAAAAATACATGCTGCATGCTTATAACAATCTTAGAAACAATCCAGAAGGTTTGGAGATGGGGAGTAGAATTTTATAATCCGTATAACACTTATTCAATAGTTGCGGTGGGGAGAAGCCCATGAAACCCAGGGGATCCCCCGCCCAGAGCTGGGGGCTGGCAAGCCTACCTGGCCCAGTTGCCAGCACCATACAGCTGGGCCACAGTTTTCCTAGGTGGAGGCTGCTGAGGTGTGGAAGAAGGGAAGCTGAAGTCAGAGGGGGGCAGATGAAGGTAGGTTGGCTGTTGAGTTGCAAGGAGAGAGGTTTGCCAACTCCAGGTTAGGAAATTCCTAGAGATTTGGGGGTTGGAGCCTGGGGATGGTAGGATTTGAGTAGGGGAGGAACCTCAGAGGGGTGTAATGCCATAGATTCCACACTCCAAAGTGGTCATTTCCTCCAGGGGAACTAGGGTTGCCAACCTTCAGGTGGGGGCTACAGATCACCTGGAATTACAACTGCTTTCTAGATGATAGAGATCAGTTCCCCTGGTTAAAATGGCTGCTTTGGAGGGTGGACTGTATGGCATTATACCCTGCCAAGGTCTCTTCCCTCACCAAACCTTGCCCTCCCAAGGTGTCACCCCAAATCTCCATTAATTTTCCAACCTAGAGCTGGCAACCCTAAGGGGGAAACTGATATCTGTAGCTGGGACATACAAGATCCACAAGAGCAAGAAACATGGTGTGCTGCTGTATCCTTTCTGCAATGGAAAACTTCACAAGTTGAGGTAAGTGCCCTGTTTCACTCTTAGATACCTTTAAATGACTAACCAGTTTTGAAGGTAGAAAGCTAGCAGGGGAGCAGGGGCTAACCAGTCTTTTGCAGAGAGTGCCACATGTATGATTATCTACCCACTGGGTGGAAATCGTGGGTTTATGCTCACTGCATGGAGCTCGTGGCCCTCAAGGAACAGGTTCATTCCCTTGTTGCTAGGATTACCAACCTGGAAAAGCTGAGGCAGAAAGAGAGGTTTGGGGGCTTACCAAAACAGTACCACTCCTGTGCTGACAGCTCCTCTGCCGTTGTGGAGAGTGAGAGTCTTGAGGTCAGAAGGTGTCAGTCTGAGGAGGAGGGATGTGATCCCTTAGAAGGGACCCCTTTCTTGTGCGATGGACCAATATCAGAGTGAGGACACATCTCTGGGTTGAAGGGAGGTGGGCTTTTAGTAGTGGGTGATTCAGTCATTAGAAGTATACAGAGTGGGGTCTGTGACAGGCATTTTGACTGCTTGGTGACTTGCCTGGGAAGGGGAGTGGGGAAGGAGGCAGCCAATCTGTTAGGTCTTACTGATTGAGACCCCTATACTGCCCTCAACCATAGGCCCGGTGGAGCATCTCAGTTTTGCAGACCCTGTGGAATTGCACTAAATCCCACAGGGCCCTGATCACTCCTGGAAGCCCTGGCCCTGGTTGAGGAAAGATGTATGCTCTTTGAGCTGGGGACCACCAGTAGCTTTTGGTCACTTGAGCGTAGTGCTTTTTGGGGGACATACCAAGATAGGCTGATCCCTGACCGTTAAGGGCTTTAAAGGTCAATACCAGAACGTTGTATTTGATCCAGTCTGCAATCTAGAGCCAATGCAGCTGATAGAACACTGATTGAATGGGCTCTCTAAGTGGAGTTCCTGTGAGGACCCTTGGAACTGCTAGATGGACCACTTATAAAGTGCATTGTGTATTATTCATAATATTCTAAATTCATTACATGCAATATCAACAATAATAATCAGTTTGTACAATCTAATAGCTACCAGTAGGTCAAATATTGATTAAAGAGAAATTCAGTGAGAGAAGGGGCAGGAAGGGAAGTTCTGCAAATTTTCAGATTTTTACTCCATAGATGCTCAGAGGCAGGCAATGCCTTCCCATCCTCCTATTACAGCACTACCCGATGGTGTATAATGTAAAAACAACTACAAGGACTGAAGTTATGAAAGAGTGCATTAATTTCTCTTGAAAGTGAAATCAAAGAGAAATGCCTCTTTTAAAAGAGAAAAGAGAGAATAAGGGAAATCAATGGCTACATTGAAAAAAGCAGATTTTAGAAAATCAAATTCCTCTCCTCATGACAATAGTAACACAGACTCATCTATAATTATGAATTATAAAATCTTCTAAAATAAGGTGTGGCCATGCCCTGAGAAAGACTCTCATTTGACCCAGTCCAGAGCAATGGGTAGGCCTTAATTTCCCAGAAAGCATCTTTTACTTGTGATGCTTCTTCTGCCTGGCATAAGCTATACCAGGGGTCATTTCCTGCAGGAGCGCACAGGAGTGGAGCTCTGGCAGTAAAGAGCCCAGGGGGCGGGCACATACAACAAGCCCCACCCCCTGCTCCCAGCAGCCCTCAGTCAGAGCAAGAAGCAGCCAGGTAAGCTTCCCCCCCCCCCCCGGTCCAAAACAATCCAGTGGCACCTTTAAGGCCACATTTTAGTCAGGTACAAGCTCTCCCTCCTCTGTGAATCAGATCTACACGTTCCCCCCACCCCAATAGCTAGCATTCCAAAACAGTTCAGTGGAGCCTGAGTGGTGGGTGTTGCCTTCTGACACACTTCCGGTGATGTCGGGGTGTGTGGCATATGCAAATAAGTCATGCTAATGAGTTATGCTAATGAGCTCCTGCACCTCTTTTTCTACGAAATGACCCCTGAGCTATACTATGTTTAAATAATTCTGAGCTGAGTACAGATTTTAAGTAGGAGCAGTATTGCACTACAGTATACTGTTGCGGATCATCAGAAGACCCTCAGTGTTCTGATAAACCTTAAATAACACAATGATTTTTTTGTAGGTTTCTGGATGTCTTTTTAATATACTGTCATTCAGCAAATCAGTGGCTAACAATAGAAAAGTTCATGACGGGAGAGTTCCGCAAGTATAACAACAACAATGGGGATGAAATCACACCTACTAATTTGCTTGAAGAAGTCATGCTGGCTTTTTCTCATTGGACTTATGAATATACCCGAGGAGAACTCCTTGTACTGGATTTGCAAGGTAAGTGAGAACCTATCATATCGTACCATGAAATCCAGGCATGTTACTAAAGTCTTTAATGCTCTGTGCACTGATATACTTAGGCTGCAGTCACACAAACTAAATAATCCACTTTCAATCCGCTTTCAGTGGATTTTATTGGCAAAATCCAGTTGGATAGTGCATTGAAAGTGGATTATTTAGTGTGTGTGACCGCAGCCACAGGTAGCTATGTCTTCTTAATTCAGTGGTAAGAGTCTTTAGAATGGTATTTATTTAGAAAATTTTTATGCCATCTCTCCACACTGAATCTGCATGAGACGGCTTACAAAATTAAACATATAAAACATTCAAAGTTGTTAATTAAAACCCAGTGTTAAAAGCCTCACCAGAGTGTAACTGAGCAGTTTAAAATGAATGTAACATTTTTCAAGTTAAGACCACCCTATAAAAATGGTGTTAAAAGAACATCCCCATAATTAAAAGCCTGGGTATGAGATGGCGGATATTGTAGAGCTAAGACCGTGCTACTTCCATACCTCCATTCTCTTCTGTAAGGTTGACACCCAAAGCTTTTACAAGAGATCAGACCCACCTGATCAGTAGTTACATCTCCCAGCCTTCTCCTCCTTTACCCATCCTCATTTGTATGTGGCAGGACAAAGCAATAGTAAGTAGGAGAGGAAAATGGGCAAAAGGACTAGTGAAGCAGAGCAGCAGGATGGGAAGCGCAATTGATTTTTATTTATTTATAATTTGTGTTTCTATCCCACCAATCCTGCAGATGTGCTCAGGGCAGGTAACATCATTGTAATAAATACAATTGCAGCTTAAAAACACAATATAAACATTAAAATCGATACAACTTAAGACGAAAGTCAGCTGGCTATAAAGATTCTGGCCCGATAGTGCAGGTAAAATAAAGGCCAGTTGTCGGTGGGTGGGTGGGTGGGTGGGTGACAGCAACCTCAGGGAGGCCATATGTGGGTGCCCGCTGCCTCAACCAAATGTATTTATTGTAGATTTTTTAAACAAAACATACAGCACCTGGGTGATGTTTTGGCAATGACAACCCTACCTTCCTTATCTGCTTCCGTCGTTCTGCTGTCTTGAGCATTCGCCTCTTTTGCCTTAGCAAACTTGAGCTAAAACAATTCAAGGTAGGGTTAGGGTAAAAGTACTAAAGACCGCACATGGCCAAATGCCTTCCAAAGGGTATGGAGGAGGATGCCAAACACTTGCTGCAGGGTCCAGATACAGAAGTGAATGGAGAATTCATTGCTCATAAGGAGGTTCAATAGACCAGTATATTCATACAGCTGCTGGATTGGAGCCAACATACTTTAAGGCAGTATTAGAAAGATAGATGAACAACCAGCCATAATGTAAACAAAATATAATTGCTTTCTATTTGTTTCAAGGAAAATGTGAACTGTAAGATAGAGGCTTAATTTATTTACAGGATTCATAGAGCATGAATTACACTGAGATCCATTTGTCAAGTGAAATAAACCTTCCAGTCCCTTAACCTCATTTATTGTTATCTTCACATTCAAAACTTAAGAAGCATGTATTCATCACAGAATGCTGCAGTGTTCTATTTAGACAAAGATCTGAAATTGCAGTGTGGGTAGCTAGCATCTTTTGAGAGCTTAAATGGATGTGAAAGGTCTCTGTACAGAACCTGAAAGAGTGGTGGGAAGGTGAAAGGAATATATGAAAATAAATGAAAATCTCTAAAATATTTGGTTCAGTTTCAAAAATAGCTTGGGATCTAAATCATAGTATTTCTAGGGTACATTGAGGGTACTGTATGCCTGACTATATTTTCTCCATTGTACAATCCATATGCCAGGTTGCTAATACAATAAATAATTCATGCATTATTGTGATAGACAATAATGCTATAGAAAAAGGGCCTTTGTCAGTTGGATTGAGTGGGACAGCTGGGAGAACAGCCTTGAGGAAAGCTTTGGAAGGCTGCAGCAGTAGCCACACGGAGGGATTGGGCAGCCTTTTTTTAAAAAAGCAAAAAAAACCCTGTCGGTTCCAGATCAGTGGTTCCAGGACTAGAAAGTGGGGCAATGGCATGTAGCAAAAAAGTAAATGTGTGTGTGTGTGTGTGTGTGTGAAGTGCTGTAAAGTCACTTCCAACTTATGGTGACCCTATGAATTAATGATGAATGGATCTCGGATTTTTGGGGAATCCCGAAATTTTTTCAGGTTCAATAGACCCAAATAAAAAAAATACCGGTAAAAGAAATTGCACGCCCCTACATATCAAATGAATAAACTTTCTTCCTGTCAGCTTTTTTCATTGTCCAGTTTTCACACCTATATATAGTAATGGGGAATACTGTAGCGTGAATTATCTTGATCTTGGTCACCAGCAAACACATCCTTACCCTGAAGAATCTTTTCTAGCTCCTTCATGCTGCCATTCACAGTCTCAACCTCCTTCTAATTTCTTGGTTGCAGTCTTCCCTTTGGTTGATGATGGAGCCAAGGAACAGAAAATCTTTAACAACCCCAGGTTCTTGGTCATCAACCTGAAAGTTGTGTAATTCCCCAGTAGTCATTACTTTTGTATTTTTAATGTTCAGCTGTAATCCTGCTTTGGTGCTTCCTGCTTTAACCTTCATCAGGAGTCATTTCAAGTCTTCACTATTTTCTGCCAATAATGTAGTGTCATTTATTTACTTAATTTGATTTATACCCCGTCCTCCCTACCAAGGCAGGCTCAGGGCGGCTTACACAAATGCATTAAAATACAATTAAAATCCATCGTAAAAGTCATCATACCAAAAACAGGTCAGTTATCATCTGCGTATATCAACATCTTAATGTTCCTTCCGCCAACTTTCACTCCACCTTCATCTAAATCGAATCCAGCCTTCTTTATGATATGTTCTGCATAGAGATTGAAGAGATAGGCAGAGAAAATACATCCTGTCTGACCCCTTTGCCAATTAGAAACCATTCTTTTCCTCTAAATTCTGCCCTTTTGTCCAGAATATAGGTTACACATCAAAACAATCTGATGTTGTGGCACACCCATTTCTTTTGAAACCAACCATAGCTTTTCATGATCCACCCAGTCAAAAGCTTTGCTGCAATCTATGAAACACAAGCTGATTGTCTTCTGAAATTCTCTCATATGCTCCAGTAACCAACATAAAGTGGCAATAGTGCCACTTCCTTTTCTGAATCCAACTTGAACATCTGGCACCTCATTTCATATATGGTAACAATCTTTGTTGTTTTTGAACATCACTTTTGTAGGAAGCCTACGTGTAAGGATACACATACTGCCTGATTCAGTGACTGCAGTATATTCTCGGGTTCCAGTGTACTTATGAAGTTCTCTGTTTGTTAATCCTGATCCATTATCTACAGTGTCAGGCATAATGCCATATATTCCATAGAGAGATGCAACTTGATTTTAGATTTCCCTGGCATTGAAATGAATGGGCCAGTTCCTGTAAGTCAAGGCAATCTTTGGGTTGATGCTTGTAGCTTGGTTCGACATCACATCAAACAACAGTAATAATAATAATCTCCAAAACTGAGACAAGCATGCAAGTTGGTAATGCATTTTATAGAAAGGGCCGTAGTGACTCAGAGGTTAAGACACTGAGCTGCAGACTGGAAGGTCTGTAGTTCAACAGTTCGAGACCCTAATGCCGCATGACTGAGTGAGCTCCCGTCTCTGGCCTCAGCTCCTGCCAACCTAGCAGTTCGAAAACAAGAAACTGCAAGTAGATAAATAGGTACCACTTCAGTAGGAAGGTAACAGCATTCCATGCACCTCGGTGTTTAGTCACGCTGGCCACATGACCACAGAAATGTCTTCAGACAGCACTGGCTCTTCAGCTTGGAAACGGAGATGAGCACCGCCCTCTGGAGTCAGATTCGACTAGCTCTTGAGCAAGGGAAACCTTTACCTTTACTTTTATGCATTTTATACTTGTAATCTTGTCTTTCAGTTTATACTCTATAAAGCTAAAGATTAGATAACCATATAAATAATTGCACTGGTTTGTATTTCATAAGTATGTTTTTATAAATGCAATTACCTGCTAACATACTTCGTAAATTTGACTGCTGCAGGTGTTGGAGAGAACCTTACTGATCCATCTGTTATTAAACCTGAAGACAAACAGTGAGTATCTAATGTTACTTTGTCATACAGAATGTGACATGTTTAAAGTGATTCAATTAATGTACAATATTAGCTGTGATGCATCTATGCATATGTTTACACGCTGCTGACAATAACACTCTTTGTGTTTTTGTTAGTGGTACAGTGACCTACTTGTATCTCTTTAATTGACTGATTAGAATACCATAATGCACTCTTCTTGCAGCTAGGCTTAAAGGTCAGTAAGAAACCTCATAGCAGTGCTGAATTCAAATGTTGGCTACAAGTAGGGAGTTTTTTTTTTCTTTGCTAAATAGTTAGAACTGGTATCCAGGCCAATTTCAGAAACAGTTGAGGATGCTGTGTTTGATATATAGATCTTACACTCAGAGTAAAGCTGTATGTGGGTGTGGGGGTACATGGATTACCCCTTGAACCTGAAGCACCTGCAGTTTTTGACATTAATGACCAATAACTTGGCCCATGAATTTGGATACATTCTCAAATGGATCCAGAAATTCTGTGGATTGAAGAAAAGCAAAGAATGGTATAAAGATTGAAGCTGTATCTATGCTTGCTTCTGATTAAGTGTTTACTAGCACATGTCTCTTTCTCAAGTGAGTGCATTTCAGGTGGCCATGATTATTGCTGGAAAAATAATCAAAGGTCACAGAGAGCCCCAGAGGTCACACAAATAGGAATAACAAGCTTAGTTTATATGGTTGCCATTTGTTTGGGTTTAATTCCAGAGGAAAACATAGTGAAGGCAATAAATATATCAGAATTGGAGATTGATGGGCAGATGTACCCTTCTTAATTGTGGAATTCTGAGAGTAATTAACTGAGACCCTGCCGTTATGCTCTATCCATCTCCTCTCAAGCATAGAGGCAACTTTACAGCACTCTCTTTGTGGTTGTGCAGTGTATCTCCTCTGTCCCGAGACCAGAGAAATACATTCCAATCTACCATTCCAAATAACATTACATTTTACTATTCATTACATTACAATCTACTATTCCAAATAAGAAATAAAATAAAATAAAGAGGAGGTAAAGCAATTCTGGGGGATTGGTAAGAACACATCTAAGGACTGAGTGAGGTTAGCATATGTAGTGAGATAAGAAACCACTGTCTCTGTTAAGTCCTGGGGGTTCCAGTGTTCAGAGTGTTGTAATAACTAGTAACTCAGCCATTTCCCTTTCTAGTCTGTTCCTGAAGTTCCTTTGCAATAAAACAGTTACTTTGAGGTCACCCACTGAATGTCCTGGAAGACTGAAGTATTATCCTACAGGTTTCTCAGTCTTGTGATTTTTGATGTTGGATATGTGTCCATTTATCCTTTGGCTTGGTGTTTGCCCTGTTTGCCCTATGTAGAGAACGTAAGGGAATTGCTGGATTTAATGGCATATACAATGCCATCTCAGCCTCATTCTAAAATTGTATAAATTTAACTTAACTTCTGCAAGCATACCAATCATATGTGTGATGGCAGACCCTGAAAAAAGAAGAGTCCCCAGTCATGTGTATAAAGCAGCTTAGGCAAGTCTCTTCCAGAAATGATGCTAAATGCATGCAGGGCTAGCAGATGAGAGATAATATTCATATTGACTATACACATATGTAACATTTGTACATTTCTGCTGTACGTAGGGTTGCCAAGTTCATCTTCCACCCCCAGTGGGGGACTTTGGGGGCGTTCCTGGAGGGGGCGGGGCATCCCCGACGTGATGACATCACATTGGGGACGTCCGCCACCCCCCCCACCTGTGCGCCAGATCTCCAGAAACGGCAGTTCCCTGCACTTAAAGGAGCCGGCGTTTCCCTTTTAAATGCAGGAGCCAGCATTTCCCCTTTAAGAGCAGCCGCATTTCCCTTTTAAGAGCACGAAGCTGGCATTTCCCTGCAAGCTTGCAGAGATTGGACTTGGGAGGAAACACGGGTTCCACACACTTAAAGGGAGAGAGATGGGAGGCTGTGGGGGTTGGGGGTGGTGGAAACCCCCCCCCCCAAAACGAGGGACCCCTGGCAAACTGGGTGGTTTGGCAACCCTAGCTGTAAGAATGCTTTAGAATAAGTGTAGCTGATGCTATAAATGAAGAATGCCAGCATTTTTCTTGATAAGGACTCAAATGATACCTCAAAACATCTCTTGAGAAAAGTATTTGGGTGATTAGACTTGAATGACTCCATGGAGACGGCTGTAAAGTGTCAGTCAGAAAGGCTGAATTCTAGCATAGTATTTTTGAAAGTTTACAAATAGTCTGGGGAATTGGTTCTTGCAAGCAGAAGGTCTCCCCTTCTTATGTAGCCCACAGGAGATCTCCTTCATTTGTACAAGAACCAGTTTCCAGTCTGCACACAAAGCTTTGGTCAGAGGATTCAAAAACCTCCATTCCATTATAGTTTATTCAGTGAAAAAACTATACTTTTAACAATTTTGTACTTTTAAAAATTTTATCTGCGAGCTTCTGTCTTTGGAAGGAATAATTATATAACAATTTTGTTAGTAAGAATTTGCTCTTTCCCCAATATTAGAATAGGATCCCCTCTCCCCACAGAGCATGTTATAGAAATAAAATTCACTTCCTTTGAACAGCAAACCTTGTTCTGTGATCATCTACAGTACTAAGTGTATCAGTATTAAAATGAATATATATTGCTCTTACAAACTTACATTTAAAATCTGTTATCATTAGCCAGCAGTGATTCTAGATGTCTGGCATCCTATATATATAGTTGCAAGTTTCTTAGAGAGATTCCCAAAGTCTCATTAGTTAGCTCTGCTACGTTGCCCAGAAAGCATCACATTTGCAAAATGTAGGGGTGCAAATAAATATCGTGCACTGAAAGTTGTGACACTATGTCTTGTCTATATTAATATATTCTGGAAATATCTGTAACCTTAAATAGGTAGTACTCTACTTACATAAGAACTGGCTTACCTAGTTTGTATATATCCCTAAATCAAACATATTAGAACCTCTTTGTTTGTTGTACAAGTAATGCATTTAATCCTTCCTCCAGTCTGTGAGCATAGAGGAAATCTGATGACTGCTGATTTCTTGGATAGGGGAGCAAGAAGCATATAGGCAGGGGGCAGAGTGTCATCAAGAAGAATATACGCAGGGGGCAGAGTGTCATCCTAGTGAGTTGAACCCCAGTTGGCTAGCTTTCATGAAATTCGACAGGATTAAGACTGTTTGTAATCAGAATGAGTGACTGGCCCAGCAGTTAGAAATGTGAAAGTGTACTAAAGTTATAAGTCGGCACTGTATTTTCATGTAATGCACATAAACTACATCTTACTCTCTAAAGACAACAGTCTCCCCCAAGCCATCATTGGAATGCCATGCCGCTTAAGCTGTTAAAACACTTTTGTCATAAGAACTTTCTCAGTGAAGTAGAGAAGATACCTACCAAAGAAGCACCATGCTTTCACTTTTTAAAAACTAATGGCTAAAAACACAGGCTTACAGGTTTATGAGTTTTTTGTAATTTCTTTCAGTGCTAAAGGGGTCACATTTGGACCAGCAAACCTTGGGGAGGAAGCAATAAAAAATTTCATATCAAAGCACCACTGTAACTCCTGTTGCAGGAAACTCAGACTTCCAGGTATGCACAAGAAGATCTTTGCATATTTCTGAACAAACCAGTCCTAAGGTCAGGTTGTTTCCAGATCTAAGATGGATAGTGAATTTTACATACAGTCTGGCTCATATTCTAGTTTCTGCTTAGCTTCCAAGCTTTCAGATAAGAGGTAAAAATCTTCTAGCAACAAAAAATTACAGGAAGCTCCACATGTGCCTTTTAAAACTACAGAATGCCAGCAAGTTTGGCGTGCTCTGTATTCCGTTGGTCTGTTAACTCTTTAAAATATATAACATATTACCATTTCCAACCCAGAATCTTAGATGAGTTTCAAGGGGAGTGACCAAAGCAATAATTTCTAGTGCTGAATTAAGGACCCAAAGATCCACATTAACCTTACTAGATCATTAATCTCAGCATAATTTGATTTTCTGACTCATCCCATCATTTTTGCATTTAACTACTCTTCTTTTGCTAGAAGTGAGAGATGTTTTAAATAGTAAACACATTTTACAGTTACTGTTGCCTTACAATTTTGGCAAAAACCTCTGGTGAGACATAACTAGTTTGGTATTAAAACACAGCAAAGCAAAGAAATGGGTTGTCCGCATATTTTCCAGATGAAATCCCACCTTGTAAAGGATTGTGTGTAAAGACGTTAAATAGCTATACCTTGTGAATTTAAGTGGTTTTACAGGATGGTGGGATTCTTCCCCGTCAGCTTCAGACAGGGCTGTGAGCTAAAAGAACTTTTGCACTGGCCGATTTTCATCTGAGAATTGGGTCAGTTCTCTGCTGATACAGAGTGCCTGCTTTCATTACTTTGGATCAGGTAGTCGGTATACAGTACATTATCCAACTCAGTAGACAAACTGTCACCCATAGTTCTCACTAGGTCCTGTAGAGAACATTTTCAGCCCAACACCACCTGATTCCTCCTAGGAAAGCCATGTTTTCATAGTGTTATCCACTAACCATGCACATTGCAACAGACTCATCTCTCATGTGATCTTTAAGCATCCTACCTGATCCTCTCCAAGACTGCTGATGTGAAAATTCTACCACCAAGCAAGTTTTCAAAACCATCGGGAACATACAAAGTCATATCAAAAATATTTGTACCCTAGGCTTCTAGACTGTGAATCAGGAAGGTGTGGAGATATAATAAGCAGTCAGAAAACAGATAGTTCAGCTGATTTTTTAGTACAGTTGTGATCATTCAGTATGGTGGTGGAAGGTGCTGTCAAGTCGAAGCCAATTTATGGTGACCCCTTTGGGCTTTCAAGGCAAGAGACATTCATTGCCTGCCTCTGCATAGCAATGCTGGACATCCCATCCAAGTTCTAACCAGGGTGGACCCTACTTAGCTTCTGAGATCTGATGAGATCAGGCTAGCCCGAGCCATCCAGGTCAGGGCATCACTAAGTATAGTGTCTCTTAATCCTTTTCATACCATAAGATGACAATTTTAGTGAATTACACTAAAAATTGCAAAAAACACTGTAGTAATAAGTAAAAGAAATCAACCCTGACTGTTCCCCGGAAGGCCAGATACTGAAGCTGAAGCTCAAATACTTTGCCCACCAAATGAGAAGGGAGCACTCACTGGAGAAGACCCTCATGCTGGGAAAGATTGAAGGTCAAAGAAGAAGGGGATGACAAAGGATGAGATGGTTAGACAGTGTCATCGATGCAACAAACATGAAATTGAGCCAGCTTCAGAGGACAATGGAAGACAGGAGGGCCTGGCATGATGTGGTTGATGGGGTCGCAAAGAGCAGACTCGACCATGTGACTGAACAACAACAACAAGGCTTTGACAGAAGATGACTGTTGTAGACACACTATTCAATAGTACTGACAGTTCTTACTCTTCTACAAATCTCCTCAGTGGTTTTTTTAAATTAATTTTCTTAAATTAACCCATTAACTATCACCCTCATCATCACATTACTTTGCCACATCCACTATATTCCAAACCCACCAAACTACAAAATCAAGTTTAATAAATACATAAAATAATGCTGAATGCTATCTCCCTGTATGCTTAGTTCCGTAGGAACAGTGCACAGGATAATTCTAGATGAGTCACCAGTCTGAGCCCAATGACACAACAGTTAAAAAGGCAAACACGTTTCTATTATGGCGTTCCCACTCGTCTGCTGTTCTTTCGAATGGGAGAAACAATTACAAAAAACATATTCTTCTCTATTGTGTGGTAGATTGACTTAACATACCTTTCTATTGTCAAGATCTGTCCCTTTGCATTTGATAAGCACTTGCGATTAAATTTCCCCTGTTTTCTCTGTAGACTTGAAAAGAAATGACTATACACCTGGAAGATTCAGTCCAGATTTTGAAGCTGAAACAGAAGCAATAGCAGCAGCAGGAGGTGAAGCTGTTAAGAATAGCGATGATGAACCTTTGGAATATAATACACGATTGTGATTCAATGAATTTTCAGGCAGGCAAGATCTGTCTTTTCTTGAACATCTGAATCATTCCATAATTGTCTATAGGGTCAACTATAGGTGCCCAAATACCTCAGATACAGCTTTAGGCTAGGAAAATAAAAAACATCTACATGAAAAGGTGTATGTGAATAAACATCCTGTTGTAAAAGGAATGTTCTTAGTTACTGGCCTCAGTGAACTTTTTTAAAAATACGTTTATTCTGAGACTATTCCTTAAAGTCTCTGGGATCAGATGCACCTGTGCTAGTAATTAAATTTATGTCTTGGAAATTTGGCTGCTAATAGAGATGATTGGCAACTAAGAAAATTAGTAGTAAATATTAGTGTTTTCCTAAAAGGAGCTGTTTAATTTTTGCTTGCCTTCTCTCACTGCTTGTATTTTCAAGATGAAGAAGAAGAATGGAGATCTTGTTTGCCTGGGCACACAATATTAATCCAAAATGGTCCATGCTGGCTTCTATCCTCAAATATATCAACTCGACCAGCCACAGTAACCACAACAAAGTAACAACAATATATCCTGTGGTTGCAATAGCACTACAACAACAATAGAATAAACAATCACAACAAATACTTCTGATAGGTTATATAATCAAAATATAACAGTAGAATTTGAACAAAAGTTCTATCGCACATATAATGTTCTCAAAAACAAAAAAACCATGGTTCTTCCTTCTAATACTCTTGATGTGTATATTCTTATTGTGTATTAGAGTCCATTAATAATAAATAGAATTTTTCCTTTTTAATGCTGACATGCTTGCTAGATAATTTCCATGTTTCGAGGTGAAACCTTCTTCTAAGCAGATTCCATAATTCCAAAACTGTAGAGATAAATGAAATACAATATCACGAAACCCAGTACAAAAAACCTCAGGGTGCCAAAGGTCACCAAGTACTCTATCCTCAGCCATGAAGCTTACAAGATAAGCTTGATCCAGTCACTGACTCAGCCTAACCTACCTCACAGGGGTGTTGTGAGGGTAAATGAAGAAGCGACAATCATTTATGCTGTTCAGAGATCCAGTCCTTAGAGGAAGGGAGGGATGAAAATGTAAGAGACAGATAGATTCCCACTCTGTCATGACTTTTACTTCTACAGACCTTTGTCAGCAATGTTTCTGTCCATAGACTAATGCAAACACAGGATACATTCAGATGGGTAGGTGCGTAGGTCTAAAGCAGCAGAACAAAGTTTGAGTCCAGTGGCACCTTTGAGACCATCTGAAGAACTGTGCATGCACTTGAAAGCTTACACCCAGAATAAAACTTTGTTGATCTTAACGGTACCACTGGACTCAAACTTTGTTCTCAAACGCAGGAGTTCGTGGTAAATCTGTAAATGCCTGTGAACGGCAGCACAGTTATTTCTGGCTTAATTTCTTAGCAAAATCTTTACCACCACTGTGCTTCCCCCCTTCAGGAATCCACCCTGAATTATGCTTTACTCATAGGCTTGCCAACCTCCAGGTGGAACCTGGAGATTACTTGGAAACTGATCTCCAGACTGCATAAATGGATGCTTTGGAGGGCATTATACCCCGCTGAGGTCCCTCCCCTCCCCACAACCCGTCTTCCCTAGACTCCATCACCAAAATTTCCAGGAATTTCCCAACCCACAGTTAACAACAATTCCATCACCAGAATTTCCCAACCCACAGTTAACAACAATCTTCCTTACTTGTGATGTCCATAGGTATTGTATAGGACAGTTGCCTACAGAAACTGGCCTTCTGAAGCAGGGCAGCATTTAGTAAGTAAACTTTTTCAAGGCAGTAACATAATGGGAGGAGCTGTTCTTGTGAAATGTCTGTCTTTCTCCAGACTTTTACAAGGGCAGGAATGTAGCCACTCTACTGTGAGACAAAATGAATTTATTTATTCATGTACTTCATTTATGCCTCACCAATGGGAACCCAAAATATTGTTTTGTTCTCCTCCATTTTAGCTTCATGAATTGAACCCTGGAATAGTGGAACTGGAAATGGACAGAAACATGAAGTAGTCTAGTTTTCTGAGGAAATCATTGGCCTTTTAATATTAGTGTAAAATATGCAAATTGCTAGGTATAATATCCTAGGATGGTTTAACTGAATGGCAAGGCTTTAAGAACAATGTGAAGTAATATTATTACTGCTAGGTATAGTATCCTAGGATGGTTTAACTTTAAGAACAATGTGAAGTAATATTATTCTACAGGAAACAGGCCTATTCCTGTGTTTTCCACACTGATGCCACAAACCACACACTGATGAAAGTCTCATACTAGTCTGTATGAGATGGGAGACTCAGCATGGAGCTGAAAGGTAATTGAATTCCTAAACATCAGTGGTAGGTCCAAGTCCCAGCAATGGGAAGTATTTTTAATCAAGTGCTTTCTGTTTCAGGGGCTTCCCATCCATTACTCTCAGGAGCAATATCTTGGTTACTTTACCATGTTCAGCCAGTGTGTATGTTTCCATGTTGTGGTCGCTATTTGTTGCATGCTACTAGCTTTTGATTAGGGACAGAATATCCAGTTTTTTTGTACCATGTCCTCTTCACGGCACAAATTAGGAAGGTAATGTACTTTACTGAAATTTATATTAATGTAATATTGATTCCTTCTCCGGGCAGAAACCACTTGTTCTGTATTCTTTATTTTTTAGAAATGTGACAGTGGTAGATGCATTTCTCTAAGTGGAGGCTTCCCCCAAAGCAGGGTAGGGGGCTCATAGCGAGAAGGACTCATAGCCCTCTTTAATGGTTTACCTCCAGGCATTTTTCTGCTAGCTAGGTGCACATCTCATATCAGCTGGAAGATGAGAGGGGGCAGTTCAGTGACCTGAAGTCATGTGACTCATTTTCTCTTGAAATTTATCCTCCCACGGCCACATCTTTATGACTGGACAGATCTAGTTTTCAAAGACAGGTCTGCCTCTATCATTTCTACTATCAGGTTTATCTTTGGTATTAACATAGCTACATCTGCTTGTTCTGATGACATCAATACTAGATAGTGCTACTGTGCCTTCAGGAACAGCAGAAGGAAAAGTGTTAGTCAAGTGACATTTCTCTTGGTCATAGTCATGATAAAGAAATGGCTTCTGCTGAAATGATAGAGGATGGTTCATAAGAACATAAGGGAAGCCAATGTTGGATCAGGCCAATGGCCCATCCAGTCCAACAGTCTTGTCACACAGTGGCCAAAAATACCAGGTGCCATCAGGAGGTCCACCAGTGGGGCCAGGACACTAGAAGCTCTCACACTGTTGCCCCCCCCCCAGCACCAAGAATACAGAGCATCACTTGCCCCAGAGTTCCTATCTATACCTTGTGGCTAATAGCCACTGGTGGACCTCTGCTCCAAATGTTTATTTATTGCTCTTTTTATGATTTTTTTTGATAAGGGATCTATTTTTACTATATTTTATTTCTGTCAGCTTCTTGGAAGTCAAGGAGAGGTGAAAAAAGAAGACTCTAAGCAAAAAATATTCAACTGTTCAGTTCTGGATCCTTATAATGCCTGATCAACTGATATATTTTAAAATAAACATTTCATCACAGATATGTCACAGGACTAACTTCTTTTCTCCTCTGTAAAAGCTATACTTAACTTCCCATCACTTGAGGAAACAGGTGCAAAACATAAAAAATTACAGGAGCCCTGTTCCATATTTAGTTTAGGAAATACAGTAATTCTAAAGTGCTTACACTTTACATCTCTACATGGTGGATATACAAGAGTGCCATTTAACTGAGATAACTGGTGTAGTGGTTAAGTGCGCAGACTCTAATCTGGGAGAACCGGGTTTGATTCCCCACTCCTCCACTTGCACCTGCTGGATGACCTTGGGCAAGCCATAGTTCTGGCACAGCTGTTCTTGAAAAAGAGCAGTTTCTGTCAGAGCTCTCTCAGCCCCACCTACCTCACAGGGTGTCTGTTGTGGGGAGGGGAAGGGAAAGGAGTTTGTAAGCTGCTCTGAGACTCCTTCAGGTAGTGAAGGGAGGGGTATAAATCCAATCTCATCTCATCATCATCATCATCTTTGTACAGTAATAAATTCCAGACGTGTTAAAGGCCCAAACATTTAATACACTTATAACAGTCAGTACAAAAAACAAACAAAAAATCTGGATTCTTAAATAAACAGTGCACTTCATATTTGAGAAAGCAGTCTTACACCATCTCAGCACTTTCCCCTTTTCAGTCTTTTTCTTTACTTCCCCATTTCCTGCTAAGGTTGCCACGTGAGGAGCATCAAAATAAGTAACACACTGTGAGACCAGAAGAATACAGATTTATATTAATGTAGTATGTCTAGCACCAGAACATATACTGCACATTAGGATATCCAATGAAGTATTAAATAAAAGTTGCTTTTTGCAGTTATGGTGCCTGTCTTCTCTTTCATGAGTTTTTTAAAAAATGAACAAGGAACAGTACCTTAAAATAAAGAACAGGTGGCAAGCCTACTCCCTGTCATTTATGACATTTCAAAGGCTAACATGTTTGACAACTGAAATTACTATACATAGGAGACTGCACATTTCATGCAAACGTATTTAAGAAAATTACAGTATCATCTTTTAATATGAGAAGCAGACTTTGGGAGACAGGAACAGAGTTTGCAGAGTAGACAAAAGGAAGCAGGTGCTTAAAGCCCTTACTGATCTGTTACTTATATGCTCCAAACAGCCTCCCCTGTTCCCGGATAAAAATGACTCCAAGGGGTTTTTGGCTTTTGAACTTTGAGGATCTGTGCATTTCAGGGGTTTCAGGCATGCCTTTTAATTGGACTGTACAACTCCAAACTGACTCTTGTCTAGAAAGACTAAAGATCACACAAGCTCTGGATTCCCACTTCCCCTCAGAGCAGACTGCCCAACAGAGCCACCAAGCAGCCAATCCTGCGGGGAGAGCTCTCCCCTCAGCATCTGCTGGGGCTCTGCTAGGCAGCCTGGCTTATTTATTTATTTACTTCCATTTCTATC